TGACACGAGGAAGGACGAAAGGAGAGATCCTGATTTCTGCGTCGTACCATCGTTCTCGTTATTAGGATCACTCCTTCACCCCTCCTCCTCCTCCTCCTCCATCTCCTCCTCTTCTTTCGCTTTACCTTCTTATTCTTCGTCTTTTTCTTCGTCTTCTTCTTCGTTTTCCTCCTTCTTCTTTCTCCCTCTTGCCATCGTCCTTTTCTTCCGCTCTTAAAATCATGGCCGCACGTAACCGTCTACTGATTATATGGATTCGGCGATGATTTCTGATGATGCCTCCGACCCTCGAAATGGTAAAATAATACAGTGTCGTCTCCTAGCCCGGACCCAAAAGGTCCTGTGGGCCGGTTCGTTAGCGGGGCCTTGGCGCGAGGCACCCTGTCATTATGCGGCTGGTCTCCATCACCCCCACCACTAACCAATTTTCGCTGCACCCAACTCGTCGCAGCTTCGATAAAGTTTCGTCTTTTTCCTCTTCCTCTTCCTCCTCCTACTCCCTCTTCCTCTTCTTCTTCTTCTTCTTCTTCTTTTTCATCTTCTTCTTCGTCTTCATCTTAATCTTCTTTTTCATCTTTTTCTTTTTATTCTTATCCTTTCTCTTTATCTATATTTCTACTTGAGCTAGAGACTCCTACCGATTTTTCTTCTAATTTTTTTCTCCTTCTTCTTTTCTTTTTTTGTTTTTGTTTTTTTGTTTTTTTTTTCTCTTTTTTATCATTTAAGATACATTCTAAGATTGATTAAAAATAATAATTCCCGTTAGAAAGCGAAAACTTTCCAATTCAAAAGTCGTCAAAGATGAACACGATCCCGATGAACGATCAACGATTACAATTGCTTTCATCCTTTATCCTTCAACCTCTTCTTTTTTCATTCCTTTTTCACATTTCTATTCGAGTTAAAACTCTTGCCAATCCTATTCGATATTTTTCTTATCATAGTAACCAAGTAAGAAAGTAAATATGTAAGTACACGTTCTGGATTTGAAAATAGAGCTCGTGTTAGAAAGCAAAGACTTTCCAAGTCAAAAGATACCAAAGACACGAACGTGATCCCTCATACAATCGTCGAAAACGAAGGTTCTTTACGTTGAGGGGCTCTACCGGAGAATATGTCCTCCTTTCTGCTCTCTTCGTCTCTCTGAATAAGATTTTTAGGAAATTCGAGCGAGCATCGAGCGCGAAACTCTAGAGGCAGTAACGACTACTGCGGACATTCGAAACTCGTAACTCGATCACGTTCTCTCAAGTCTTTCGGGTAAAGTAAGACAAAGAGAGAGAGAGAGAGAGAGAGAGAGAGAGAGAGAGAGAGAGAGAGAGAGAGAAGAAAAAGAGAGAAGAAAGAGAGAGGGAGAGAGAGAGATACTTATCGTGTCTTCGTAAGAGACTTATTACTCCTTTTCTTCTTCCTCTTCTCTCGCCGCCATTTTTCCCCCCTTAGTCCATTGTTTTACTGTTCTCGTGATCGATTATCAATGAGGAAAAACATTGTTTAAGAAACAAAATTCGCGACTTCCTTTTGCTAAATTTTCAGGAAAAAGGTTTACATCCTTCGGTGAACAGCAACCTTGAAGAATTTGTTATTAGTGTAGGTGGTCGTCTTAGTCGGTAATCATTTCGCTTAATAACGAAGACCGAGAGCGAGGTCCTTTCCTTTCTACGGGCTCAGATTATCGCACCATTCTCTCTCTCTCTCTCTCTCTCTCTCTCACTCACTCTTTTTTTCTCTTTCTCTCTCTCTCTCTCTCTCTCTCTCTCTCTCTCTCTCTCTTTCTGTTATCCACGGACTCTGTAATTTTCTTCTAGCGACCGTGCCACCACGTCGCACCGAAATTGGTGTACGATGGAAAGATTTCGTGGAAACTTTCGGTTCACGAGGAAGAGAGAAAAAGAGAGAGAGAGAGAGAGAGGGGAAAGGAGGAAAAAGAAAAAGAAAAAGAAAAAGGATAAGACGAAATGGTGGCACTTCTGCTTTGGCGGTCGAAGATCAGACGGAGAAAAGGTCGAGAAAGAAAAATGGCGAGGACGAAGGTATTGATTCGAAAAGGGAGGTAAATAATGAAGGATTCGAAGATTTCCGCAGTCTTCCTAATTTTTCCAAAAGAACGATGATATTTTTGAAATAGCAAAAGACATTTTCCTCTTTGATCAAAAGTAAAATCTCATATTTTTTGTTTACTTTTTTGAAAAGAACGAAAAGAAGAAATTTCAAATAACTTCATTGATTTTCGTTCGTTTCTTTCTCTTTCTTTTACTTCGACAAATTTTTATATCTCCTTTAATTGGAACATTGTCAATGTCCGATTTTACATAGGACAGAAAAAATATGTCGATGATAGAATCGTTTGAAGGTAAGGTTCGATAGGTCAGTGCGATGATTTGGTATTTCAATTGGAAAGTTTTCTACCTTTCGACGGAAGCCTTATTGTACTGCACGAGGAGAGACAACACCGTAGAGATCAGAAAATTGCTGAGTTTCGAGTGAAAGGACTTGGCCGATTCGCGTGCCATTATAATTTACTTTCATGTTCCTGAGAAGTAACGTGATTTCCAACACGGGGGCCTGTGGCCAAATCGAAGGAACCTCGGGAACCGTGTTATTACCAAAGGCTTTCGCCGCGTTATGGATTTCTGCGGACGATCCTAAATGGATTTTGACGGTACTCGGACGAAGCTGCGCATCAACGTAGAAAAAATTCACTATGTAACGAACGACGATGATACTTTTTCCTTCGTTTCTTTTCTTTTCCTTCCTTTTTTTTTCTTCTTTTTTTTAGTATTTCTTTTTTTTTCATTTTCCATTCTTGTCACATTTTGCAGTGATTCGTCGTCAGGAGAAAGGTACCGATCGATTTTAAGAAGATAGAAAAATTCGAAAGTATTCGAATACTTAATTGAGACAACGAAAATACATACTTCCTTAATTAAATAAGAATTGATAAAATGAACAATTCTTTTAATTAGCACCGAATCATTAAGCTAATAGGACGGATCATCAAATTAAGTTCTTTTATCTTTGGTATGAATTAGTAAGGTATAAAAATCGACATAAGGTTTTCTCATCTTATCGTCGTCGTCATCATCATCATTATCATCATCCTCATTGTTATTATTATTATTATTATTATTATTATTATTATTATTGAATTGTTTCTGCCTTTTTATCATTAAAAAGAGAGCTTCCGTATAGGTGGGATAATTTCCGGGAAGTAAATAGGGTATGCGTAACAACGTACTTTCGAGGTCGAGACTCATTCTTGCTTCCAGCACCTGCAAAAGATCAGGCCGTGCACTCGATGCTTGGGCAAACAATACGAACGATGATGCACCGTCCCGAGCGCATTGTCCGTAGCGAGTAGTAGTAGGCGGCGGATTTATCTGCCTACTCGTAGAGTCAGGTAGAGGAGTCCAAGGGTCCTCGACCCTCGGGACACGTCGCACTGTCCGACGGAACCGATGGATCTTCTTCTTCTCTTCCTCCTCCTCCTCCTCCTCCTCCTCCTCCTCCTCCTCCTCCTTCTCCTCCCCTTTCTCTTCCTCCTCCTCCTCCTTCTCCTCCTGCTCCTCCTCCCTCTCCCTCTTATCGTCGTTTTCTTCTTTTCCTTATCCTTTTCTTTTCTCGTTCAGGCCTGTTTTCGCGCTGTCGATGCCACGCACGTGTCGATCATAGATATCATTACATAAATGATAATTTTGCGGATCAATCTCTTGTGGATCTTCTGAAAAGATAAGAGAAGGAAAAGGAAAAGAAAAAAAGAAGAAGAAGTAGAAAAGAAAGAAAAAATGTCGTCATTTTTCGCTAGCCAACTTTAGCGTGACAAGTACGATTTCTAGTTTGGCATTACTATGTTCAGAAAGAAGTAGAAGAAGAAGAAGAAGAAGAAGAAGAAGAAGAAGAAGAAGAAGAAGAAGAAGAAGAAGAAGAAGAAGAAGAAGAAGAAGAAGAAGACGTAGAAGTAAAAGAAGAAGAAGAAGGAGAAGGAGAAGGAGAAAAAATGAAAATCAAGATTGAACGAGGAAATTTTACTCGATATCCGCGCGCTCGTAGGAAAGAAAGATGTTAAATCACGCGATACGCGCGGAAAGTTGGCGGGTATGCTCACCGCAAGCGAGGTCGAATTCCTTTCGAGATAGAGAAGAGAATCCTGGCATTGGTTTCACGTATCTCAATGCGGTCACGACGACGTTGTTCACGATCGATCATGATCAAGTTGGAGGCGCCTTCTAAAAAACATTTTCCATGTATCTATCTTATTCCAATTAAATCAATGTTCTTATCTTTTTTTCTTCTTCCTTTTTCTTTTTTCTTTTTGTTTTTTTTTCCTTTTTTTTCTTTTTTTCATTTTTTTCTTTTGACTTTTTCATACGAATCAATATCAACGTAAGAGAGGGAGAAAAGGAAATAAAAATGAATTGAAAGGAATGTATACCTATGGAGAAAACAGAGATCAAAGAAAGAGATCGAGTTGGAAAGAAATGAGATCGTCGTCGGAAGGAGGGTGTAAGAGAAGAGTGCGCGTTCCCTGAGTCGCTTTCCTCGTCACGTCACGAAATTCCAGGACCTTTGGCACGGGCGTACAGGAGGTTCGTATGGCCGAGTGCGGAATGAGCGCCGACGGTAAGTCAGTTCCTCGCATACCGGGCGCTCAGGTAGGTAGGTAGCAAGGCGGCAGAGAGAGGACAAGGGAGAGAAGAGCGTGCGCGCGCGCGTGAGCTCGAAGAGCAGAGAGAGAGAGAGAGAGAGAGAGAGAGGGAGGGAGAGAAGGAAAGAAAGAGAAGGAGTATAGTAGAGTCTAGGTGCTCGCTGCCGTGCCGCGCGTTGAATGCCTGGGCCCGGAGTGTATCAGGCCCCGAGTGTATCGGAGTGCGCTCCCCTCTCCAAGATGGCCGCCGCTCGGGTCCAGCCGGGTCCCCCTGACTGAGGCAGCCGAGTTGGTCGAGTCAGGGGAAGGGTAGGCCTTGCAGGTGCCGCCATGTCAGTGCATGCCTAACCTCGAAGCCGCGCGGAACGGACGCTGGCCCGAACAACGCGACACCTCGTGCCCGCGAATCGTCGCGTTTCGTTCGACCGAATACGAGCGGATTTCTTGTCTTCTCGCGAGCGGGGATTATTGGAAGAGATCGAAGGAACGCCGTCGATCGAGCTTCTCTTCTATTTTATATACTGTGACCGGTTTTTCTCGTGGATATCTTTACGTACGTATGTACGTGTATATATATATATATATATATATATATATGTATGTATATATGTATGTATGTATGTATGTACGCTTGTATATATATATATATATATGTATATATATAGTTATATTTTTACACGTACAAGGAGTTAAGGTGTTACGAAAAGATACACGATCGAAACGCACATCGTGGACATAGTCCGGTCCTACTAAAAGAGTCCATCAGGAGAGAAAGCAAAGAAAGAGATCGGTAGCCGCGGAAATCGCAATTTTCGTATCGTTCTTGTATCGGTTATCTCGTCGCGAGTGAGCGGTTTCGTGCGAGTTCAGGAGCAGACACGACCCTGGATCCTTTCGGTCGTTCACTCCCGCTCGAGTCTGGATCCTTTTCTATGATACAAGCGCCGTTGGATAAGCCGAGCATCGTCTCGGACGTTCCTCGTACCAGGTAGAACGGAACGCAAAGCTGGTACGAGATGACGAGCGGCGGAGGAGAAGCGAAAGGATCGCGCCAGGTTCGCGACCGGTCTTGTTGACCATCCGGTTATCGTCGGTGGATCTAACGCGAGGAATGTACGATATCTCGCGGCGCGTATATGCTCGGTGACAGTGACTACGGATGATAGGGTAAAGCAGTTATATATTTTATGCTGGAAAAAGAGGTTCATCGGAAAGTGTGTGTTGAGTCGTCGCGGACGAAGGAAGATCGAGAGAGAAAGAGAGATGAGGTGATTGTGTTTGGTGGTTGGTGCTGGTGGGTGATAAAATTTGACTGGAAAGGTGATAAAAAAGAGATCTAGGAGAATCAAGAGAAACAAAGATAGATCGAGAAAAATCGAAAGAGAGAGAGTGAGAGAGAGAGAGAGAGAGAAAGAGAGAAGTTTGGAGTAGTCGGAGGTGGAAGTTAGACAAGGTGGAAGATCCTGGAGAAGAAGAGGGAAGCGAGGAAGAGGAGGATATACCATCGTTGAAGGATCGGTCCGAGGATGGAAGGGTCGAGATAATAAAAGGAGAGAGGAGTGTAGAGCAGAGTAGAAGGAGCGAGAGAGGAGAGAGGAGAGAAAAGAGAGAGAGAGGAAGAGGCGGTTAGCAGGAGGAGGCCGGGAGGAGGCCAGGATGCGGCCGGTAAGGCACCTGCTACTGTTGTTCCTCGTCCTGGGAGCGAGCCTCGCCCCGGGCACGCGGTCCGAGCTGGTCAGATGCTTCGAGGTTTCCGAGAACGCTCGGCCAGGCACCAGGGTGGGCTTCATCGACGCGGAGAACCCTCCGTATCTGGTAGTTTCGGTCTCAGGATCAGCAGTGGACGCTGATCTGACGGTTGACCAGACAACGGGTGAGATTAAGACCAGGGTGCCATTAGATCGTGAGACAAGGCCGTCTTATACTTTGGTCTCCTTACCGCAGAACGTAAAGGTCGTGGTAAAGGTATTGGACGAGAACGACAACGCACCGACCTTTCCTGTAGATCGGGTTGACGTTGAGTTCCCAGAGAATTCACCGAGAGACGCGAAACGTGCATTACCACCGGCAAAAGACCCTGATCTCGGTCAATACTCGACGCAACGTTACGAGATCGTTTCAGGTAACGACGGCGAGGCGTTTAGGTTGTCGCAGCATCGCGGTCGCGACGGCGTTCTCTATCTGGATCTTCAGAACGGCGGAACGTTGGATCGCGAAGCTCGCTCCAACTACCGTCTCGTGATCGAGGCTCTCGACGGGGGCTCGCCAGCGTTACGCTCGAGGCTGCACGTGAACGTGACGGTGCAGGACGTCAACGACAATCCGCCGATCTTCAATCAGACTCGGTACGCGGCGAGCGTGCCGGAGAACGCGACCGTCGGCACGCCGGTCTTAGCCGTGAACGCTAGCGACGCCGATGCCGGTGAAAACGGTCGGATCGAGTACTCGATCAATCGTAGACAATCCGATCGCGGCGAGATGTTCCGTATTGATCCGGAGAGCGGTATGGTTTACGTGAACAAGGCGTTGGACTTCGAGTCGAAGGATCGTCACGAGTTGGTGATCGTAGCGAGAGATCGGGGTGCTCAGCCGCTCGAAGCGAGCGCTTTTCTGTCCGTCCGTGTCACCGACGTCAACGACAATCAACCGGCGATCACGGTGATCTTTCTCTCGGACGACGCCACACCTAAGATCAGCGAGAGCGCTCAACCGGGCGAATTCGTTGCAAGGATATCGGTCAGTGATCCTGACTCGAGGACAGAATATTCAAATGCGACGGTCACGTTGACCGGTGGCGAAGGACATTTTGGTTTGGCTACAAGAGATAATATAATCTACTTAGTCGTAGTTGAGAGACCGCTCGATCGAGAGGAGAAGCCAGTTTACGAACTTTCGGTTGAAGCTACGGACGCTGGTACACCACCCTTAAGAGCGACTCGTAATTTCAAGCTACTAGTCACCGACGTTAACGATAACGCGCCAAAATTCGAACGTGACACCTACGAGGCTCATCTCCTCGAAGCCTCCGAACCAGGTACATCGGTCCTTCGAGTTCTCGCTACCGACTTGGACGAAGGTGCCAATTCAGCAGTAAGATACTCAATACGTAATTCCACTTGGTTCGCCATCGACGAGACCTCAGGATTGATCAGTACGATCAGCCATGTCGATTGCGAAGCTGACCCAGCTCCTATACTCATAGTTGTAGCCACTGATTCTGGACGTCCACCTCTCAGTAGTAGTGCTACAGTTCGTGTTACGGTTCACGATCTCAACGACAACGAACCCATCTTCGAGAAGCCGCTCTACAATGCCACCGTGCCGGAGGATATGCCAGTTGGACGCTGTTTTCTCAAGGTATCGTTTTCTCCACCACAGTCCTTTTTATTCATTTCTTTTTTTCTTCTCGACAAAACCTGAATTTTGCGATTCAATCTTCTTTGCCATTTCCTTATTACGAATACCTTCGTGAAAGGGATCGTTTCTGATCAGCAAAGTGTTACCTTTTAATAGCTACTTTGCCAATGGCGAGTTACCCACCACGTTCGTATAATTATTAGAAGGATAAAAGTCAATCGGTGCGATAAAATACTCGAGTGAAAGGCAACATTTCGAATTCCTTGGATCCTTTGCTTAACGATGAACCGTGTTTTTGATCTTACGTCCAAATTTTAACTTCTACGTCGTTCTTATTTCTCTTCGAGCCATGAAAAATTCTCACTTAGATCGTGGATCTTGATTATTTCAAAGTATTCATAAGTTTAGGATTTATTAAAAATTTAATCGAGTACCACGGATCAAATTCTTAGTATAGGAAGATCAATCAAAAAAAAAAAAAAAGAAAAAAGAAAGAAAGAAAGAAAGAAAGAAAAAAAGAAATGACTTAATTCATACATGGATGAAATAATTTAATAATGAGATTCGTGACAATATATATCTTTTTACTATATTTTTTTCTACTGTAATATTTACTCTTAATAGTAGCCGACATAGTATTAGAAAAGACGTTTATTTGGTAAAAATTTTTTCACAGAAATAAATCATCCATTCAAAGATTTCAAACATTCCGTTTAATTTGATAGACACTAATGCAGATATATAAATACTAATAAATATCTAAAGAGCAACGATAGTACTTAAACTATACTTCTCTCTTTCCCTTTCTCTTTCCCTCTATCTCTCTCTCTCTCTCTCTCTCTCTCTGGGAAAACCATAATTGGTTATCGAATCGAAAGGTTTCCCCGGAGCGTAGTGCAATTAGTATAACTTGTAAACCGTTAAGGAGTATTATCGATCACTGCACTCTATCGTGGAAAATCGAGAGTTCGATAGTAAAGTCCACACGTTCGTTCGAGCGAATCCATACGGTCGTTCGCATTCGTCGCGTACCTCGACAACTCTGGAGAAGGAGAGTGAATACGATACTACTCTCGAAGGAACGTGAATGAGGAAACCTATCGAGTATGGACGAAACGGTACGTGAATCGTTCAGGAACGTACCTTTATTTTCTGCGAACCCAACATCATACTTTAAATATAAGAAAATAACATTCAATTATTATTATTATCATTATCTATACAATTTTTATCATCATCATTATTATTATTATTTATAATTTTATCTATCGATTATATTCAAAAGAAATAATATTTATTGTAATATTATTCGTTTAATAATCGACGTGTAAAAATTCTCGTGTAATAATTTAAGTTAACAAGTCAATTCTCTTTCTCTTTCTTTTTCTTCTTATTTACTCTTCTTCTTTCTCTTTTTCTTCTTCTTCTTTTTTCTCTTTTTTTTTTTTTTCTTTTCTTTTCTTTCTCTTTCTTTCATATCAACCATCTCTTTTTATTCTTTATATTTATGATGTCCTTGGCGTAATAGAGTTCGCATACTTACGACTACCGTTGTCGATATCTTTTACTTTCTCCTCCCAACGCGCCTTTCTCCGTTCTTATATGGTGCGTCCGATAAATTTCAATACCGGATGAGAATAAACTAAATGCAAAATCGAAAGACCAATCGAGGATAGTTTAAATCCAACAATAATTTTCAATGTTTTAAATATTATTCTCGATAGTGTTATTTAATTAAATGAAACTTCAACGTGAAACATTCAAAACGTATTGACATTATTTAATAATATCTTAATAATTAATATATCGTTCAAACTAACTATATATAATTAATGAATAATAGATATATCATAAATGAGAGACGTAGGAGTACAAAGTATAAAACGAAATTGAAATAATAAAATATTAATAAAAAGAAATAATTGGTATCAGATAGTCGATGAAGTTAAAATTCGAAGCGACGTTTCTTCACCGAAACGAGTCGAACGTGTCGTTACGATATCGATGTTTCTTCTTGTTGCATTACATGCGCATACGTGGCCTCCGATGCAGGATAAAAAGGCGAGGGCGGCTTCAAGGAGAGAATGAAAGGAAAAAAAAAGAAAGAAAGAAAGAAAGAAAGAAAGAAAGAAAGAAAGAAAGAAAGAAAGAGAGAAAGTGAGAGAGAGAGAGAGAGAGAGAGAAAAGAAAAAAAAAATTCGATCGAAGGTTCGCCTCGAATATCGTCAAGGAATTAAACGTTAAAGAGTAGAGGGTGGGACGTTGACTTCTGTGTTTGTGAAATTTGAGATATCGGCCGGTTTCATAAAGGGGATTACGCGGTATAGTACTCGTCGCCTTTTACGAATGATCGTATTACGTTCGACGTAATCGTCGAAAGTAACACTATACCAACTTGAGTTTGTACGATAACGAAGTTGTCGTACTACCGGCTCGTAGTAAAGTCAACGTCGAGATAAAAGGAACAAAATAGAATTTTGCAAGTGTTCCCCTTTGAGTGATGCACAAATTTTTATTCTTGGTATTCTTCCTTCTTTCCCTTTTTCCTTATTTCTTTCTTTTTTCTTCTTTCTTCTTTCTTTCAACGATCTCGGGTGAAAGTCTGAAGTAACGCTCGAGGTGATGCCGATGACTAATTTTCCCCTGGTCGGATCGGTATCGCTATAATTATGACATAAAACGTTACACGCTTCTCCGAGCGTTTAAAAGAGCGCAAACACATACATATATATATATACACACACACACACACACACTTACGCACGCATACGCATAATCAAAAAGACAAGAGAGATTCACATTGAATTGTAGTTTAAATAATTCCAAAAGATATTTAAATCATGATTGAACACGTGTCAATTCTTTTGTAATTACTTATTATTGAATTTAAATGCAGCCATTAGCTCGACAGTACTTGCGTTACATTTTATATTTAAATAAATAAATAAATAAATAAATAAATAAATCGCAACTAATATCGATTGCCCGGGTCTCACCACTTGGAGGTTGCTGCTTACGGAGACCCACGAGCTATGACTCTACTGCTAATACAATATAATTTACTTTTTAATAACAACATATATTTAATTAATTTAAAAAAATTAAGGCAAAAGCAATCGCGAAACAAATCATCAATTTTTTTCCAATTAATTTAAGTTGGACGAAAATTTATGAAATGTTTGATATCGACCTATCTACCCGATTAAGGAAGAGAGACCTTAATTTTGATACTCTATTCCAAATCTAATCCTAAAATATCTTGATAATGATTATATAAAACTGAAATATAAAGTTATTAAACATTGATAAATAAGAATATAGAAAGAAATATTTTCATAATAAACATATATTATCTTAAACTAATATTATATGTTTTATCTTATTATATTTCTGCAATTTCATATAATAATTCATTTGTCAATCTGTGAACATAAAATATTTCAAATATTTTATAATTTAATATGCAATTAAAATAATTCATGAATTTCAACCTGTGATAACAAAACATTTGAAAGACGTTTTATAATTTAATATATACAGTTAAAATAATATACAAATTTCATATAATAAATCAGCAATTAATCTGTGAATGAAAAATATCTATAACATTTTATAATTTCATATGTACAATCAGAATAATAATATATACGAATTTTATATGATAAATCAGCAACCAACATAAGATTTCTGTGAACATAAGATATCTAGCATGTTATTATTATTTGAAAATATATTGAAATTAAATAAGTTCATGAATAATTATTTCATTCAATGAGATTACAAATTCCAATAGATGAAATACGAACAATTGCAATTTATGTTGTATTTCTTGAAACATAAATTACTGTTCTGATTAAATAAAAACAATCTTGCAAAATTCCAATAAAAATAGAATGAAAACAGAAGTAGTCGTAAGAAAATACATTGTCCATTATCAACTCATTCATCAAATTTGTATTTGTTCATATTTTATTCTTAATTTCTTAACCATAAGTCAATTGGAACATCTGAAACAGCTGTAACATTAAAATTTTATAATGCACTTACAAATTTCTATTAATTTATTATATGTCATATGTATTACATACCTTATAATATTATTATTTACATTATTATTTGTATCCAACGAGAGAGAGAAATTTATGAATGATCACTTTTGATAGTTCAATGTTTTACTTGAATTTTATCCTATATTTAATATTTCATCCATTTTCGAAATTTGCAAATACAAAGTACTCTGCAACAGATAACTATATAAAAGGTGATGTGTGGTAAAATAAAATTTTCTAAATACATCACCGAAAACTTCCATTTATTAAAAATTTAATAAATACAAATTATAACTTTAGCTAGCAATGGAAGCACACAGTAAATGATAAAAAGCATTTTTAATCAAAATTAAAAAAAAAAAAAAAAAAAAAGAAAAAATAAATACATTAAAATTCTCGGTGCATTACAAAATGTGCTTAGCTTTTAAGTTAAAATAAATATTGCACGTGACTTTTAATAAATGTACAAGTACAAAATGAGAAAAATGTTGTCAATAATTAAATACATTGACGTAGTTATTATAGAAAATATGTTGGGAAAAATTGTTCAAGATACATTTATGAAAAAGAAGAAATGTGAATATTAAAAAAATATTCAAGAGATGAAATAAGATCGCGTTTAAAAAATGATATGCAAAATATACTGTGTCTTGTGTTATTTTACAAAATGCATACGCAATTTAGTATATCGCCATAACCGCAACCATATCGAGATCAAATGTATATTTAATCAATAAATATAATATCTTATTTTAAAATGCTTAATACTTAATGCGTAGTATACGGTTACATCAAGTGTCCCATGTACATATTACATCATTTACAAGACACTATTTTAATTTATTACTATAATAAAAGAAAAAAAGAAAAAGTAGAACACTTTCACAATTTCAGAGCCACGTGTATTAAATATTTTCTTCATTTCATTTTATAAATAATTTTTGTAAATTT